CTCCCTTGCTCACCATCTTTCTTTTTCATGCATACATGTGATGCTTAAGCTTTATCTTGCCATAAATTCTCATTTCCTTTGCAGTTTTGCAACATAATCACAGTTCTTAGTTCGTTGTTAGGAAAACCTAAATGATATTAGGTTCTTTGTGTGCTTGAAGATGTAGCATGGCTATGTTGATAATACTATTGCAATACTCTCCTTCGTAATATTTAACCCTGGGGTGACTCATGTCTTAGGTTAGCATACTTTAATGGCGTTGTTGTTTAATAATGAGTCCTATTAGGTTATGATGAAAGAGAGAAGGTATTCAGTGAAGTGGGTATTGATTAGAAGATCTCGTACTAAAATGGGCTTGGAGATCAACAATCTTGAGAAGAGGAACTTGGCTCTTTTAGGAAATGGCTTTGGAGATTTCCTTTGGGGAGTAAATCTCTTTCGCATGTGTGATTAAAAGCCAATATGGGCTCCTAGATAATAGGCGGTTTTCTAAATTAAAAATACAATTTCTATTGGAAGTCTGTGGGAATTTATAATTAAAGGATGTCATGGTTATGCTTCTAATCTTAAGTTGGTTGCTGGTAATGATGTAAGATTCATTTTTGGGAAGACATTTGGGTTGGTTCCTCTAGTTTGACATCTTTGTTTCCTTGGTTATATAGATTATTCTCTTGTATCATAATGTGAGCTTATTGTCAAAATAAATAAATGACTTTTTTTTTTCTTCTAACTAAATGAGGAATTGATTCGACCTCTAACCCATATTTTTATTCTATCTCTACAGCCTTAACTTTTTAAGAGAGTAAAGTTCAATGCATTTGCATGATCTTGTTGTGCATCAATCTCCAAAAACTGTCATGAAAAAAGTAGCAGAAAGGAAGTAAAAAGTTAGAGTTGTTAGACAATTCAACCTAAAACATTAAGTTGATAGGTGGATGGTCTAATCATAATATAGGTGATGTAGGACATATAGGAAGGATGATAGGGCTATTTGGTCTTTGTCTTTCTATGTTTAAGACTGAGTTGTCTTAGTAATGATAGAAGGCTTTATTTACAGCTTAAAAAAAAAA